CTAGAAATTGTTGCATTGAATGTACCCTTTGCCATAGATAAAAATTAAAACCATTCAGTTCACGGTTTAATACATTAACAGTCCATTCAATTGGTGCAGCTGTGTTCAACTTCGATGAAATGTTTCCCTCAAATTTGCAAGTTGAAGTACAAATGGGGTTCTTCAGCAGACTCCTGATGCACCACCTTAAAATCAGGACAGGAAGGGCAATCTCTCTTCTTCTGCTATCCTCTAGTTTAAAGGTGTTTGTTTCTACCTATGAACAAAAGAAAGAAAGATTAATAAATAAGTTGAAAGGTAAATAGTACTACAGGGAGCCCACACAATCTCGAAGTGTGCATAACCGATTGTTATTTTATAGTGGATTTACCGTTTGCTTCAGTTATGGGGATAAATCACTTACTATGTATATAAATCGATGTTAAATAAATGCTGTCAACAGCGAACTCAAAATCCTTCAAAATCGCTCAAAAAACCGCTTTTGAGGCAAAAGGACGACAATACATATACACCAAAGGTAAGGTAATTCAACGCCTCTCTACTTTACAATTTTCTGCGTTAAAAGTCTGGCTACGTTCCTGGATCGTGGCATAAATCTTAAATTTTCTATACTTTGAAGTTAACTCTTAATCTTTAAAGAAACAATCACCGTGCAGTAATCTTAGCTTTTTAACTGCTGCAAGAACGATAAACCATTGCGTCTGTAGACTAGCTTACTTAACATCAGTATGAAACCTGATGTCACCTCTAATTTGTTAAACCGATTCTTTTGTTACTTTCAGATTTGATTCCAGCTTCTGTGCGAGCTAGAGGAGAAAAGGCACTTGCTGCTTATCACAGGGCCCTTGAGACTGGTGGTAGTACATACGATAAACGTGTCAAGGTTTTGCTCGTAGGGCAAGACCGTGTGGGCAAAACGAGCCTCGGAAAAGCTCTAAGAGGTGAACCTTTTGATGAAGCCGAACTCAGTACTGAGGGAGTGCAAATGATCCCTGCTATCAAGAATGCTGGAACAGGCGCGTGGAGAAATCCAGCCTCTCTAGAACACACAACAGTATTTGATCATAAGGTTGCTGCAAAGACCGCTGAGGATTTATTAACCAAACATTCGGAGCAGCCAGCAAAGAAACAACCAAGAACTGTAGCGTCTAACAAAACAGATCAGTTATTTGTTGAAGATGGCAAGTCCTAAACATATTTGTTTAATTTTATTTTTTCCCTTCTGTGATGATTGCTAAAAAGAACCCTGAGTTCGAGGCTGTTTGTTAAAAGTTCTGGAGCTCATTGGTTTACGATAAAGATTTAAATTTTCTTTGAAGAAAAGAAGAAAAGAACATGTCATTCAATTTTCTTAAACGGGGTAGAAGTATCCGGAAAAAACACTTTTTCTACGACACAAAATTAAGGCAATCGTGGGCAAAACAACAAAACATATACAGCGTTTGTATGGGCAAAAAATCGGGACTTAGAAAACTGGCCGCTTAATACATGGCCGCCATATACAGTTTTCTAGGGAACAGATGAAAGTCACTGAAGGGAAAAAGTTTCTTGAAATTAAATGGTTCTGAAAAATCAAAAAAACCGGCAGCGTTTGGGTTGGTGNTACTGAGGGAGTGCAAATGATCCCTGCTATCAAGAATGCTGGAACAGGCGCGTGGAGAAATCCAGCCTCTCTAGAACACACAACAGTATTTGATCATAAGGTTGCTGCAAAGACCGCTGAGGATTTATTAACCAAACATTCGGAGCAGCCAGCAAAGAAACAACCAAGAACTGTAGCGTCTAACAAAACAGATCAGTTATTTGTTGAAGATGGCAAGTCCTAAACATATTTGTTTAATTTTATTTTTTCCCTTCTGTGATGATTGCTAAAAAGAACCCTGAGTTCGAGGCTGTTTGTTAAAAGTTCTGGAGCTCATTGGTTTACGATAAAGATTTAAATTTTCTTTGAAGAAAAGAAGAAAAGAACATGTCATTCAATTTTCTTAAACGGGGTAGAAGTATCCGGAAAAAACACTTTTTCTACGACACAAAATTAAGGCAATCGTGGGCAAAACAACAAAACATATACAGCGTTTGTATGGGCAAAAAATCGGGACTTAGAAAACTGGCCGCTTAATACATGGCCGCCATATACAGTTTTCTAGGGAACAGATGAAAGTCACTGAAGGGAAAAAGTTTCTTGAAATTAAATGGTTCTGAAAAATCAAAAAAACCGGCAGCGTTTGGGTTGGTGGCATTAACCCCTTCCCCTTGTTCTCCCCTGGAATTGGCTAATTAAACACGAATTGACTTTCATCTTTTTAAGTTGATGGTTTTTTTTTATAAGATATCATCTAGTCCCGCAACAGAATACTAAAAAAATAGACGGAACGTATGAAGAGAACCAGGTAGTAGACTCATAGGCCATCAGAGGAAATCTATCTCTCTGACTTCCGATACTTCAAGAGTGAAGGTGAATAATCTCTGAGCGTGGTACAGGCTAAACATTTCAACACTAATTTCGTACATTCCACGCTTTTGTTTTTCTATAACCACACAGAAAACCCGATTTCGTCAAAAGCAGATGAAGGAAAAACTCAACTCCCCCAACAGAAAGAAGCTTCTAGAGAGGTCAAGGAAAACCAGGCCCAGAAAAATCGTAAGTAATAAAAACAGACGGAACGCATAGAGAGAACAAGGTAGTAGATTTATTAGCCATGAGAGGAAATCCATCTCTCTGACTCAGCTTCCGATATTTCAGGCTTAAAGTTGGGTAATTTTCTTAGCGTGGATCAGTCTATCTATTTGAACACTAATTTCTCTCATTACCTTTTATTTCTATTCCCACACAGAAATTCCGATTTTGTCAAAAGCTGATGAAGGAAAATTTCAACTCCGCCAACAAGAAGAAGTTTCTAGTGAGGTCAAGGAAAACCAGGCCCAGAAAAGTCGTAAGTTAACGCCTTCTGCTATGTACGCCTTTTACAGCATCTTCAGCCCCTTTGGAACATGATCCGCAAAGTTCAGTAATGTGCTCCGAATTTCGAGATGTCTGTGGGTTCCATCAAAATCAAAAATGTGACAAATCAAATGATAGCTACCAGGCAAAACTATTTGATGTGATGTTATTTGTTATGCAGTACCGAATGGTTCTTCCATTTGTGTCTGTGGATAAAATCCTAAAATAACGCAAAGTTCCGATAGTAAATCGATGCCTGCTCCTGAGTAAATCCTGAAAATAACTATTCCGGGAAAGAATGGCGATTGATTCTTTTCTTTTGTTCTTATTAACAGAAACTGGAAGAAATGCTTCCGCGCCTACACCAACAATTGAATGCAAACAATACAAACGTTTCTCTTTACTTACAACTTAAACTAGGCTCTGGATCTTTAATACACATGTGGCCGCAGCTAATCCAGACTTTGCTAGGTTTATTTGTTTCTTGTCGTTAACTGTATTTCAGAGTGGTAAAATACTGTCTCTAATTGCCTCTTTAGTCTAAATCACTCCTCACACAACTTTCTGTAGCCGGTAATTAAACGAACAGCTTTCGTAAACAATTAGAAGGCAAACTCAGCCTCCTCCTCAGGCGCTTCGTTTTTCGCATGGTTTCGAATAGAGGCAAGCGCAAAAGGCGAATGACTGGTAACGAAGCGCAAGGGACCATGGGAGGGGTAAAGAATGGGTGGCGAAGCCCGCTTTCTCCTTCCTGGCTTCCTTTGCGCGCAAATTTTCATCGAGACAGAGACGTCTGGGTACGAGGCAGAGGCAAACTCGAGATTTTATCAGCAGGTAGGATAGAAAAACAAGAGTAAACTTAAGCTCCTCTTTATTTTATCACAAATATAGGAAGCACTTACTAGTGAGTTCAACAAGTATTTTTTGGTGGGGACCCATGTTTCTGTCAGGCAATTGCTGAAAGGCTGGATTTGCATTAGCGTGAATACTAGAAGAGTTTCACTAATAACACAGAAAAGTATTCTTTTTTGTTTCAGAAGACCAAGACCTTGAAAATCAAGCGAAGACATCTGGCCTTCCAGATGAAATTGCCGTAATAGTAGAGCAACACCTCGAGAAAAATGAAGCTGACACTGATGAAAAAATTTGGCCCATCATTTGGGATTTTGCTGGACAGGACATCTATCGTGCTATACATCCGATCTTTATGTCCTCAGATGACATTTATCTTCTCGCGTTTGACCTTACAAAGAAATTGAGTGAAAAAGCAGAATGTCGAGTCAATATTGGGCACAAAGAGCTCACTGCAACAGCCCGCGATAGTGAGGATACCAATTTGGATCACTTATTTAGGTGGATGGACTTGATTCACTCTTTAAAGAATTTTCAGAGGGATGGTCTTTCGTATCCTCCAGTCATACTTGTCGGTACCCATGCTGACCGTGTAGACGATCCACGTAAAGCAATTGAATCTGTAGTAGATAAGAAGTGTTTAAAAGTGTTCGATGAATACACTTATTTACTACACATCGCAGATTATCGTCCGATTGATAACACAAAATCTGGAAAGTCAACCGACCAGGAAGAAATCATTGAGTTGCGAAAAAAGATCTTGGAGTTGGCTGATAAAATGCCTCATACCAAGAAAAAAATCCCTTTGCAATGGCATCGTGTTGAAAAAGAAATTTGCCAACCGGACTGGCAACATGAAAAGTATCTTCTACTGGAATCGTTTCGAGAAAAGATTGTTTCACGCTAGACGTGCAAACTCCTACTCCCGCTGAAACTACTCGAACACATAAAAAACGTACCGGCACCTTGTTATCACATGGTACTCATACTTGTACTATTTTTCTTTCCAGACTAACAGAACTTAGGGGTCACCATAATCAATGTACTCTGTGAGATTATCAAAGTGCAACCAGATGATAAGGAACTGGTGTGGATAAGAAAAGATCGCGAGAAATTGGCGGAAGAAGGAGTCCTCCGTGAACGATTAATTGATCATACCTGTAGCAAAGAAAAAGTGGGTCTTATCAAAGACTCTTTGATTTCTTTGATGGATAAGTTCAACCTCATTTGCAAGTGGCCAGAGAAAGCAGAAGAGACAAACACAGAAGAATCACAGATCCTGGTCCCCTGTATGTTGAATACCTTCTATAAGGAAAAGAAAGAATTAGGAAACGCTGCACCGATTTACCTCACTTTTCAAACTAAATACGTGCCATATGGACTGTTCTGCCGACTGGTTGTGCTGTTTGTAAAATCTCCTCAGTTTAAACAGATGTACAGGCTGTGCGCTAATGAAGCCAGAATTCCCTTGGACAATGAGAGCTATGTTCTTCAATTGTTGTGCTACAAGGCAGTCATTAAGCTGCAAATTTTTGCAGACCATGGTGGCACTCCTCCACAAAAGCTTTATGATGACGTTTTGAGGTAAGCACTCGTGAGCTAATTAAATCGGAAACTTCTTTTCGCTCTGTCTGTCTTCACCCAGGTTTATAAATGGGTAGCGGCGACATACTGCCGGGGGGAACCCTACGATGAACTACCATCCCGTCCAGGAGAGAGAAGAAACATTTTTTTGTAGCTTCATTCTACTGAAACTGAGGTGAGCTGCGGCCTGATGGGCTACTTGGCTCGGAATCAGAAGTTACCTTTTATCTTTTACTCATATTCTTAGTCATAAGTAAATTTGCTGCGGTTGCATGCGTGCCTGTAGTTACAATGAGAAAGTCAACCAAGAAATAAGTAAGACATGTTGCCAGACAAAGAGCGAATAGCGATTGTTACGAAACGTTAAGTTGGTCTTCAGAAAGAAATTTTGTTACTTTTGTAATCAAGATGTAAGTAGGTTGAGCATGAGCAGTCCTGAATAGGCGGAATATGGCGGTGACTGACGTTTGGATAAACTGTGCAGTAGTCATCTTAAGAGTCAAAGTGAAAAGTATCACGTCAGTTGATGGTATTAAAGTCTGGTTATTGACCTGACTGGTCAATTAAGTCGCGATGCTATTGGTCGTCTGTCAGTTAAGCTGTGAGGTTATTGGCTATGAAGACTCGTAATGTCATTGGTGCGTTTTGATTCGTCTATTATCACAGTTAAACCCCCCTTTTATTGTTGGTCAAATTGTCGGTTATTGCTAGTCTTATTGTAGCAACAACAGCTACAACTATACGGACTTTGACGAGAAGAGCCCAACTAGTTTGCGACTCGCCTGACAGCCCAGAAGACAAGACTGACTTCCTAAACAACCTCTTTAGTAAAGACAACTGCAACGTGGACGATCATGCTCATCCTACTTATGAAACGACTCCTGGGTTCAAACCTTGACAAAAGTTAGGCCCATGTATATATTATACAGTATATTTTACGCAGAAGTCGTAAAAAACGTAAAACTAACTTGATTACTTTGATCACCGCTAAAACAATAAACAGTGCAATCGAAACCGTACTAAATAAAATACTAAGGGTAACTGAGGTATACACATCGCTATATGGGGCTTTAAAGCAAACTCTAACTTTAGTATTAGGTATTACTGCACTGTGTGTGTGTTTTATCTTCCTTTTTTTTCTTTCTTCTGTTTTTCTTCCTTTTTTTTTTAAGGCATGCATCTCCTGTCAAGTCCGCTGTTAGATGCCCCTTGGGCGATCACAATTATAGAGTGAATTTTGTGAAAGATCACGTATATGAGAGAGCTTGCTTTTCTGTTTAATTAGGATCAGCTCGGAATTTTCTTAACATAAGAGTCCTCCAAGTGAGTCAGAAAGGAGCTAAACTGCTTGGGTTACTAATCTTCCTTTCCCTTGTTGAACACTCTTTTCCCTTTTTTGTAGCCAGTTGAATGAATTCTTGAAAAAGCTACGAAAGGAGTGTCACTGGCTGCATTCAATGTCCGGGAAGTTGTGCGCTCGATGCACGGTTTGTATGGGAAATGAGACAAAGCCCTGCGCCCGGCACAATGAAAGTTCATGTAGGCATCGTGACTGTGGCCATTACATACCTTTGGGCGGTGAATACTTTTGTTCTAAGTCGGGTCTAATGCTGGAAATAGAACCGCTCGTACCTTGGATTAGAGCCAATGAACACGTGTCAAAGGTGCGTTATGTACTTTCTACTAATAGCATCACTGCTGTGGCTATGTAATTAAGAGGGTACGGAGAGAGGATTACCCCCCTCTCTCGCTCCGCAGGGATGGGTAGGAGAGAACCCTGGGAACGAGTTTGCTAGGTTACACGCGCAAAAAATATCAGAACATCTTCGGTGTAAACTCAACTGTTAAGAGTATTATCTAAAATCTTTTTTTTTTGTACAAGAAATGGTATGTGGCGGGGCACAAGGCTCCCTTGACTCCTCCCCTTTTTGGTCCTTGAGTAATGATTGCAGAAGTTTATTTCCCCGTGTATGACTATATGTGCGAAACTGTTATCATATAATGAAACCAGGGGGAGGGAGGAGGTATCTAAAGGAAATCGATGGTCCAGTCAGCTTGACGTCACGTCTCGCATCAGTGATTTTCAAAATGGCGAGCAAAGTGTTCATCGAAGAGACTTAAAAATTTCGAATTTATCACGGAAATACTGTTCCGATTTCTTGGATTTGGCGATATTACGGTCCCTATTGTCATAGAAATCCAGACTTTGGTACTTTTTTGGAATGAAACGTCCAATGGTGTAATAATTTTAAAGATCCCTTTCTATCGTCCAGCAAATTTTCCGAACATTCATATCGACCGGTCACACTTTTAAGGGCCGGTGCACAGCAACATTGAGGAATTTAGACAAAGGATATACAAAGGATATACATCAAAGGATATACTAGGCCTTAATTGTGCGTATTTTTAGCTCTTAAGAGCCAATGGATCCCCGTATAAATCCCTTTAAAGTTTGCTTTCCGCGCCGAACTTGTTACTACCATACACATTTTTATAATTAACTACAGCACACTGTTTTTTTTGTTGTTGTTTTGTTTTGTTTTTTTCTGCAAGCGCCACACAACACGATAACAAACGGCAAAACAACCACAGCAACAATTTTCCTCGAAGGATTAAGCAACAAGCGACAACTTTTAAGCAGTTAAAGCAGGTTAAAGACAAATCCAAACTACCAAACAATCAATTTTTCTAAAAGCCAATTACAGCGTAAAAGCGCTATAAGCAAACCACACAAGAAACCCAAGTTACTACTTCAGAAATACGTTACCGCAAAAACTTCGCAAAGCTGTAAAGGGTCAGCAGTAGAAAAATGGTAAACAAGCCTAAAGGAAAAAATGGGATTAAAAAACAAAGACTAAACAGAAAAAAAAGCGGTACAAAGGAACAGAAACCAGCTCGCCGGGAGTTGAACCTAGTTCATCTGCACGTGCAAGCAACTCCTTAACCACTGCACCACAGTGCCACTCATGTTTTTATGGATTAATTTTGTTATATTAAAACCATTTTTCTCCGCCATAAACGCTGTTTAAAGCTGGAGGAGCTGTATGTATCATGAATTTAAATATACATTTGAGGAAAATTAGCTTAAGCGCGTTTTTCAAAACTATTTCGCCTTATTTCGGGTTCAACGGGCCGATTGATGTAGATAATTGATCAAACTAGATTTACTAAATTTGGTGGAAATTAGGAAATAAACAGAGGCCCACACTCAAAAGGAGTGATATGAACTACGGTCGATTTAATCAGCGAAAGAATACATAGAATATAAACGTGTGTGATTCCTGAATCGAACCTCCTATTCTGGAGAACTAGATGTTGCCTTTTCTAGAGTAAAAAGGAACTAATTTGTGAGGGCCTTGCTGGTCCCGTAAAGCAAACGGCGATTCCATTCCCTTGTAATTACCTTAAGGAGTTCATCGTGTGGAAATAAACTTAGCTTATCTGTTTTTTTTTTTTTTTCTTAAGTGCACAACGCGGGCAAGTTCCCCCGGCCCTATCAGCTTTTTCCTTTCTCCCATTTTCCTTCTTCCTGTGCGTCTCGGCCACGATCGGCGTGTGCATTAATCAATTAAGTGAGCATCCCGAGAAGCAAAACAAGTGCAGTGCAGCTGTATGGTGAAGACACTCGACAGTAGTTTGTAGGCTGGTGGAGGTAGAAAACGAAACTGTTGCACTTTTCTTCCCTTTCCGCTCTGCGCTTGTTTCCATAATAACCCACATCTGGGGTGTTGACTTTGGCCGTTTATGGCCCAATGGCAAGTAATAATAGTAACAGAAAACAACAAATTAAACAAACCAAGGTGTTGGGACTTGAAAGTAATTGACTTCTATAGGCACCCTTTTGCACATCAGAGTCACCAAGAGAGGATAAAGGGGACAGAGAAGGCATCCCCCATACACGGGGGGATAAGGTTACCTCGGCACTGCGTGGATGTTTCGTGGAGGTTTCGTATGACTAAACGCCGTGCAAAACATGTCGGGCGAAAGGCAATGAAAGCGTGAAGAGATCGAGAGCATTTCTGAACATTGAAGCGAAATGAGTCGGCGCTCACCTGGGAAAAGGGAATCGCTGGACTCTTTGACAACCCGTGAAATCAGTTTAACTCGAAGTTGTCGTAACCTCAGTGCTTTAATAAAGTGAGAAATTTCGCCGGTCTATTGAAACCGGTCGTTTTTACAATAAAGCAAGTAGGACGCCAAGTGTTATTTTTGTTGAATAATAAAAGACTCATGAAAGAATAAATATCAAACCAGAAATTGCTCTCTTCAAACTGTAAATTATAAATGATCCTGAGAGAATATTCAGTGTGTTAAGGATTTCCCTGCCGTACTGTTAGCTCTATACAAGAGACGAAGGGCGATTCTTTTTTAATTTCCATTTCGCTGACACCGCTTTAGTAGAAATCTCTCTTAAGTCGTTTTCGTCGACAAAACGAATAGCAATATCGCTCTCCGCGTCTTCCGCCATTTTTTTCTGCGTCAATTCGTGAAGGACGCGTGGCTCTGAGCGTGCGTCATCCACGCGGAACACATTCGCGCTATGTGATTGGCTGTTGTCTAATCCCCCTTGGGATCTGTGGTCTTAAAAATAACTCGAGACAAACTACCTATGGAATAGGGTGTGTATTGGGGATGCCTTCTCTGTTCCCTTTATCCCCTCTTGGAGTCAATTATTTTCAAAAGGGAACAGAGACCTACACTTTCGGACAATTCAAATTTGGATATATCAAACTATATTTTCGATAGGGTGTGGAATTTTTTTTCTTTGCAGAAATTAAATGTTTCCAGCCCACATCTAAAGTCGCATGATGAATCGTGGTCGTTACAAGGTAAGCTGAAACGTCCGTTAACAGAATGTGGATTGCATCAAGTCTTTTAACTCTATCCTTAACCTTTTGTCGTTCAGTAAGTACCAGTAGTTGATCCGATCCGATCCAGGTTTGGTTAACCACAGTTGTAACAATTAATTGAGGAATCTTGTTTGTGCAAGGCCACCAGGCTTCGCAGCAAACTGTCTTAGGCTGCGTGCGTGAACAGTCTAAGTTATCTGTGCCCGAAGCTAGTAGCTTTTGCGAATTTTTGAGCTTTTTTAGGCTGCGAGCAAGCTCCCCTGGGCGCTCTGGTGTCTGAGCTCCCAGGAGAGCTTGCTCTCGGGCTAGAGCTCTTTTGAAGAAACTACTCATATGTCAGCAGTGTGCGGTGTACATGCATTTTGGTATCTTTTCATTTCTCTGTTTGGATGTGTGTTGCGGGGTGATTGGACCAATAAGGTTGAAGATAGTATAGTCGATAAGTAAGGTCCTGTACGGTACCGCAAATGATCCCCAAAATGGACCGCAAATGATCCTCGACCGCAAGTGATCCCCAAACTTGACCGTAAATGATCCCGAGAAAACTTGAGGAATGGAATGGATTTTATGGGACTGATTACAAAAAAGGACTGATTATAAAAAAGGAACCTTTTTCTCGCGCCTTCTAAAGAAAATGGGAAGGAGTACGCTACATCTCAGGTCAATTTTTACAAGGTTAAAAAAAAAAGTAGAATAAATCTGAAAAGGATATGGTATCAACCGTATACTTCTTCCTTTGTCAATTGCTTCAATTTTCTTTCAAGAACTGTTTCGTCGCTGAAAATTTAAGACAGGCAGGACGTTACGCAGAAACAACTCTATTATTTTAACGCCCAAGCTCAACTTGTCTACTGAGGAATACAATGCCGGGCACCCTCTACATATCAAGAGCTTTATTGACTTTACTGATCTTTTTAGAAGTATCGAATTAATTTTCAGAATATTTAGTTTTGTTTTTTCTCTCAAGTGTTAATTTTACGTGATAAACAGCAAGACATTGGTTCGTAACTTAGGAGTGCCCCAGGCCTCGGAGTGCCCGTTACGAAACAAGACATGATTTGAAATAAACACACGTCAAAATACCCCCGAACTTATCAATGTCCACAGGTTTCGGTTTATTTCGAAAGAGCAACTTGCTTACAGCTCATGAACATGTTGCGAATAGTTATATTGACGATTATGTGTACATCCATTTGTTGTACCTTTGCTGGAGACAGTTACCAGGAATCTAAACCTGGTAATGAGAAACGCAAAAGCGAGGCAAGCGGTAGTTATCGCGTGACAAAACATCGTAGGAACCGTCACATTAACGGACTAAAAGAAAGTGACTTATAATTATTCGGATCCAGGAGGCACTTTGAAAGTCTAAGTGAAAGTTTAAACTGAGCCGTGCCGTTGATCAAAATTAACCCGGTTAAACGTTTTTGACCAGGTTACGTTCTGAAGAATTTTTTTACCGGGTTTTCAAAAACTAACTCGGTTAACTTGCCAAGTGCGTCCGCAACCAGAGTCTTCGTGGCTTTTTGATTTTCATCGTATGTCGAGCCCGCAACATTAAAATAGCGGCTGCGTTTGGAAATTGATTGGCGTCAAAAAAGGGCAAACTTTTCAGTTTAATTTATTTCTTTGGGTCATTCTGGGTATATTACATTCCGCATAATTATGTCATTGCGCAAGCCATGCCATTCTCCAAACTCATTCCTCCTTTTACCCTCACCGGTCTTGAACAGCAATGCACAGGGGTCATATTTCCCCCCTCCTAGGCGTTAAAATAAAAGACAAGTTTCCTGCTTAAAATCGCGCGAAACATCAAATGCTTGAAAGGAAGGAGAAGCAATTGCCAATAGAAACAGTTCGGTTATTTTCTTTTTATTCATTTCGTTGTTTTACACGTTGTTCAAGTTTTCAGCACATTTACCATCAATGCCTAAAATCTATGTCATTCCTCTACTTTTCACGGAATCATTTGCTGGTGACAATTGGGATCATTTACGGTCGAGGACCATTAGCGGTGTGGGGATCGTCTGCGGCTGGGGATCATTTGCGGTACTGTACAGTGGGTGGCATGTGTGTTCCAGGGTGATTGGACCAATAAGGTTGAAGATATTATAGTTGCTAGATGGTACTACCGAATCGAAGAGATTTTAGCATCTAAAAGGGTTTTAAGAGCAAAATACTTACGTAGCTTAGTGTTTGAACACAGCAGCATTTTGTACCGTTGTTCAATGCAGGCATTACATTAACAATATAGACAACACAGACAATATTTTTAGCAATTACTGAATGAGGCTGAGTAGGATACTGGTGTGAAGAATTATTAAAAACTGAATCATTGGATAATGCAATTCTAGAGCTCTTATGGGCTTGGCCATCATGGTATATGAGCGAGTATTACATGTTCTCCAAGTATGGTAACTGTACGCATCTGCTCAAAATTAACAACAAGCTGAAAATCGGTTGTTTTTGCAAATAAAGTCAGGAAGAATTTTTGATATTTTGTGAACATTTTTAATAAAACAATTATTCCACTCGCGCTTGTTGGATATGAGATGATTATAACCAACTCGGCGCTACACACCTTGTTGGCTATCTACCATCTCATACCTAACGCGCACTCGTGGAGTAATTGTTAAATATTTATAAGACATTACGTTTATTTGGTTAAACGTAAGAGTTCGATCGTTGCCATACCAACCTGGATGGTTTAAAACAAGCCTAAAATTGTAAATTCGGTAGGTTTTTGCGAAATCCAGTCATTAGATTTTCTTATGAATACAACAAGTGATCCTCATTTTTCAAAAAACAACTTAACCGAATTGCAACAAACAGTTTGTGAAATTTTAACAAAATAGCTATCATTTGAAATTTGATTGTGTCACAAAAATCCTCTGCTTACTTAAAATGTTCAAGTGTTTAATGCTTTAAGTGCGATATTGACAAGAATTTTGCCAAATTTCGTCAAATTTTTATGTTCTAATTTTGAGATATCTTCGTTTCTTTACATTGTCCATTAAAGTCAACAAAATAAGCGCTCTCACTTTTTCTCCTAAGTACCCATGCTCAACACTTGTGCGCGCTAATGAGAATCTAAAATGACTGAGAGAGAAATATAAAATTAAATGATTATGATGAGCAGAGAGAACAGCACAGCTCTTATATCCATCATCTGTCATTGAGCGTATATCATTCTTACGAATTCTGCTTTTACAGTCAACTTCTGGCCATTTTTCTCAGCTGGTCCTCACCTTTTTTTTCTAGAAAATTCCATTGGCTGCATATCTTCTCATAATAAAGATGTTAACAGAAGAGGGATAAGCCATTTCAAGGGGCGAAACCTTTTTATTTAGCTTTTTATTTTTCTTTAGATCACGTCAGTCTATTGTGCGCACGAAAACAATTGCGTCAGTGAAATTTCTTTGGGCGCGCAATTCTGTCAGAGAAACTGTGTTCAGCTACCTTAAGCTGGAGACAGAGCAAACAGAAAATACGGAGCTAAATTATTATTGTCTTTTTTCTTATAATGTTTTGCTCCATAGTCACTGAATCACTGAAAACTGCGAGTAATCCACCAGAGGTAACTGTTACTCTTCTACGGAATGAGGATCTTCCGGGAAAATCAGTACTTCTTGATAAGCGTCAATTGCCAATCGACATTTTGCTCTTGACGGTGAAGGATTGGGAATTTCTAGCTTGTATTTCGTGTTTCAATCGCGACTTCTGTAGAAGTTACTGCGAAGAGCTTTGTCAAGACGTGTACCTAGGCAAAATTGGGAACGATGACATGATGCTAAAGATCGCTGTAGTGAAGTGTTACACCGTTCCACAAGGATCTTCTGTGGTCGTAACGAAAGCAGTCGAAGTCTTGAAGCCCAAAGCGGTATTCAGTGTGGGTTGCTGTGGTGGCTTAGACCCCGCAAAAGTCAAACTTGGGGACGTGGTAGTGTCAGTGAAACTGATAACGTATTCCTCCTCCAAAGTCACGGACAAAGGCATTACAGAACGTGGTGTAAGAGTTCCATTGAAAGCCAATATTTCAAAACTGATGCTAAGTGCTGCTGATGGTTGGAAAGCCCCACTGAAGAGTCCAAAAGAATTTGAGGTAGAAATGCACCGAGGAGTGTTTCTGAGTGGCCCAGAAAGTGTTGATAGCAGTGCGCGGCGTGAGGCACTCAACCAACGCTTCTCAGAAGCCGATGTTATTGAAATGGAGGGCGAAAGTAAGTTAAACAAATTGCAGCTACCTCAGTGATATGTTATCCTCTATAAGTGATAATGCTTGAAGTCTCAATTCGCAGGGTGTGAAAATGGTTGTCTTACCCAAATTCATTAGACTGAGGTTTTAAGTTGGCATGTATATCAGGGGGTGTATCTGTATTTGTGTATTAAAATAGTTGAAATCAAATTAGAATGACAGTGACCGTAAATCTCGGTAGTCTGCTTCTGACTGTCTGTCACACACCTTAATAGTTTCTCGTTCGTGTTGTTTGGATTGAGCACAATCTATTCTTAGAATGAAATGCATAAATGCAGTTCTGGGCAGAGAGAGATGAGCAGGTATCCTTAATCAATCGAGTTTGTAAAGGTTTCAAAAGGTGGGTAATGCGATCCTCTGAATAAATCTGAATCCAGTGGATAACGCAATTGGTTTCCCTAATACCTATCCGCTGGATAGTGATTTATCCGTTAGATATCGATATTCAGCGTTTGAACAATTGGGTCCTTGACTATTCATCTGTGGATCAGAGGGGGCGGGGGACCACGCGCAAGAGCATGCAACATAAGATGACTCGTCAGCTAATCCTTGATACGGGTTCAAAGCATCGTAGTGGAGTTTTTCTATTTCACTTTTATATTACACAATAAAGTTGGACTTAAGTTGTTCTCCATGTAATTATGCGTGTGTTTTTAGCCAATCAGAATCGGGGAAGTGCTCTCGTAGGATCTAAAGGCTACAAGGCCAGTATTGTAATGCAAAAAACCATGCATAGAATAGAGTAACCTTAACAATCGCAAAGGGTCAACCACGTGCAGCCCATGTTATTTTTAGGGGGTGCAAATCCAAAATTACAAACGTCATGCGAACAATCGAGTCATTGTAATTATATCATGCCCTCAGCTAACTTGTTAGTTCACAGTTCTTGAGGGCTGAATTTAAGTCTAAATTTAAGCCCTAGGCCAAACGTCGAACTTTTCATGAGAACTTTTCATGAGTTAGTGAGTTAAGTTCATGAAAAGTTCGACCGGGTCTGGCTCAGTTAAGTTCGTCTGAATGAGTTTGGATCGTTCAACACGTTCTATCCGTCTACTTCAGACGGATAGAACGTCGACGCGTCTTAAGTTTGACGTCTGAGCCAACAGATGATCTTACCTTCATTTAGGTCGACCCAAATTAGAGTTTGGTTCGTCTCATGAAAGTTCGACGTTTGGCCTGGGCCTAAGTCATGTTCACCCTGACTTTCCTTGAACTTTAACCTGGACTTGTCCTAAATCTACCCACTGATGGTGGTAGCAATTTAACCACATATCTACCTTTCCTTGCGCTTCTCATAAGTATAGATCTTTGCGAGAAAGCACACTTGTCCTTACAATTATTTTCAGGTGTTTATGCAGCGGCTCATGAGCTGGATATTCCGTGGACCATAATTAAAGGCGTCTCGAACTACGCAGATGGAGGAATGTTTGAACCACTTCCTTGGAAAAAGTTCGCGAGCTTAATGGCAGCTTCCTTAACTGTTCATATTCTCAGTAATCCTGTTACTTTCAAAGGCTGGCCTCACTATCAAAGTACAGGTGAGCATTGGATCTCGGCTAAGAGACGTTTACTTTTTCCCCTTGAAATACCCTTTTCAATGGGCTAATTAGTCTGCTTCTAATGATCTTAACAGGGATCCTCAAAAAATTTTTGCCAAGATGTTGAGAATCCTCGGAGATCGGTGCAAAGATCCTCAACTTTCTTTCAAGATCTTCGGAGATATTTGATTATCGTCAAAGATCTTGAAAGATCCTTTTCGGACCTTTCCATGATGATGAGTTACGAGCAGACTCACGGTTTAATAATTTCCATTGAATAGCTTAGTACAAGATAATCACATTCCAGAAAAACCATAACTTTAGGAAAATAAATATTGATATGCTCGACTCATTTGAGCGAGAGACAAATTGATATTTTTTCTTAGATCGTGGGCATAAGTTCTTATTTTTGTAACTTGGGTATTAATGTATTCCGATTGCAATGGTAAAAATTTAACAAAAGCCCCTCTTGTAGGCTTGGTTACGATATTTTCCTCAGGATGCACATAAATTTCTTTACTTCAAACAGAACGTAACTTTCCTTTCTTCGATAACATCGACCGGTATCAATGGAAACTGGGCTGTTGAATGTTCATAGAGAGTGGAATGTTGTGAAGGGGGGGGGGGGGGGGGGGCCCCGCTAAAAAATAGGCTCTTTGTGGTTATTTGGGAAAAAAAAAATAATTAATTTTTTAAAGATTATGCGAATGAATTTTTAAAAAAAAGTTAAAAAACCAGAAAAAAAAGCACTAATAAAATGTTCCCTTTCAGAACTCTATCCCTCTATGTTTGGTTTTTTGGTTTATTCTTCGCATGCAGCAAAAAAATTTTTTCTTCAAACAAATCGTATATTTTTTTCTGTCTCAATAAGAGAGGCATGAAACAAGGGAATGGGGGGTGGAGCATGTTTAAAAGGCGGAAAGTAGGTAGGGGGGGGGGGGGGGGGGGAGCACCGCTATAACATAGGATCCTTGTCGTTACTTTGGTAAAAGAAGATAATCAATTTTTCTAAGATTATGCGAAGTCATTATTGAAACAGATTTTACAAAACCGATAATAAAGCACCTATCAAATAGCTCTCTTAAGAACTCATTAGCAGAAAATTGAACACTGGGACCTCAAAAACAATCATTATCACTCTTCGTTCTTTCCTTCGTAGAAAAAGCTCCATAAGAAAAAAAGAACTGGTGAAGACAGAAGGTACCCTCATAACACATACAGAAATTTATGTATAAATCCATATATTGATCCATGCCTTATCTTATTCCGTAACAACTCATTTTGACAATAAGGGGTTAGTACAGCCTGGGAAGAATGGAAAATGTTAGCGCAATCGTATGCAGGGTAGACATGCTTTAGTATTGTTTAATAGGGTTAGTGTTATAAGTTATATCCTGACTTGGAAGGGCTTCGTTTATGCAGCCTGTGATTCGTTTACTTTAAGCTAATTATACTTAAGTGACAGGGTCTTTCATGAACGATTTGAGCTGCGCATAGAGGAAACGGAAAATACGCAGTTTCCAAAGAAAATGATTAATGTTTGTATTGGTTGTTGTTTATTATCTTCCTTTTAAAGATATAAAAGATAGCGTGGTTGCTGACGATGAGTTTGGAAGGGTTATCTTTGCAGCTTGGGACATCATAGGATGCTCTTGCGCGGCACCTGGAATTCAACCAAGCAGAAATACAAGGATTTAACCACGCAAACAACGGAAAGAACTCGCAGACAAATCTTACTGCATGTTGTGTAGGTGGAAAGAGAAAAGTGGTCTGTCAGGAGCAAATTACCAGGTCTTGTACAAGGCCTTGTGTCATAAATACGTTGATCGCAAAGATTTAGCAGGACTTTTTAGCAATCGTGAATCTTCAGATGAAAGTGACAAGAAAAAAGAAGATAGCACGCCAGAATAATAAAGGTATGACAACAATTATTACGTTCATTGAGAGACGTTTCGTCGAACTACGTTGAGAAGCCCGTGGGAAGAGTAGCAAATTAACGAGAAAAAAAATGGCAGGATCACAACATGATATAATAACTAGTTATTCATTTTCTATTTTATAATTATCACTCTCAAAAATCTATTTTTAACTTAAAGCGGGAAATTGCCAAGGTAGGGTAAGAATCACAATGTTCGTTTAAAGTGGAGGAAGTCTGATCGAGCATTTAGAATGTTGGACTTGAAATCAGGAGACCCCGAGTTTAAGTATTTCTGTGACAGTTAACTGGATTTGAAAGTAGCCAGCCGGTTTGGCTTTCGCCATTTGGGTTTTTTACCGTTGTCATGTTTCAGCTGAATTGTTTTAGTCCCTTTAATAAGGTGCCTAGGGGATGGTGGCCTTGTTTATTTATTTACTTGTTTTTGTTTTTTTTTTTTTAGCCATTTTGAGCTTGTGCTTGTTAAAGAGAGGGAATTATTAAAAACTGGAGAGGCGACACTATATTTCTCATAGACCATCCTCCAAGAACAGAAAATAAACACGTAAATGACTGAAGGTACGCTTAATATGTTTTTAGTAGGTTCAGTTCCATATACGTAACTTTCACACATCATAATTAAGAGTACCCTTATTTTGTTCAATGCACCCCTGTGGGAAAGGCCCAGACGAGTGGTGCGACTTTACAGGTCAACCATCCTCTTGCCAGTAGTAACATCTGGGGCCAGTTGTTCAAAAGATGTATTATATCGCTATCAACTGGATAAATCGCTATCCACTGGTTTCAAACTGGATGGTGCAATTGGTGTCCCTAATACTTATCCGGTGGATAGCGCTATCCAACGTTTGAATTAACAATCAGGGCCTGTACATTAATGGTAGCCCTGACTCAAAAATTTGAAAATGATGAACTCGAAATTGAATTCTTCATTGTTTATTAGGAGAACAAACAAATAAAGAAAGACAGCATAAACAGAGGGTGTGACTGATAGTACGCTACGTAATTGAGATCCATATCTTCGAACAGAATATGACTATAGCTCAGAGACTGCAACTTAGGGTTACAATCTTTTATTTCATTGGTGTCTTTTGCTGTTGTAACGTCTGTTTATAAAGAAGATAAAGTGAGAAAGCGCCATACGCAAGTGTCTGTCATACAAATGATAGCTGAGAGCCTTTTGTTAGGTATTTTAACGGGTATGGAGCGAATTTTCCTTAACTTTTTTTTTCCTTTACGGATTTGGTTTTGACTCAGAAGTGAAAAAAGCATACTTCTATTTAGCATACAACGAACACTTCACTCAATCAAACATTTTGGCAAAGAATGTATTTCCTTTATTCAGCGTGTCTCACGATTCTGTGCTTTCGTTAGAAATTCTGAAGAACGTTTGGGATGGTAAAAACTCATTTTAACCAAATATATTTCGAGTAGACATTCAACACGATCGTTTGAGTGATTCAGGTGTGATTTCCGGTAGCCTATGTACAGAC